AACTGCTTGAATCATGGTTCTCCAGTCATCAGTCAATCGACAGGCGCAACGACTTCCTCGCTCCATATTCGATGCTGAGACTTCGCCTAGGCAAGGTAGTTGGTCGCGAGGAGATCTTGTGGATAGCTTATGTTCCTAGTGTCAATTTCGGAGAGCCAAATTGCCCACGAGTCGACACAGATGACAAAATCCGACAGTCAGAAACTGGGCGGCGCAAGATGAGCGTAGGAGTCGATAATCTTGACCAGTATACAAGGGCATAGCAACTGCATGGCAACTGCATACTTCAACACCTGGCCAGTCCAGCCGTGATGCACTTGGGAACAGCCAACTGTGGTAAGCATGTGGCCGCCTAACACTTTTATCCTACAAATGCTCCAACGCCTGGGCAATTTACCACCCTTATCTGACCGTGTCTCTGATGATGGAGTAGAGTAAGAATCCGAAACTTCAAGCTAATAAATCTCTTGTTCCAGCGATTGTGTCTTTCGTAACGTGAGAGCCTGTGAGAGCGAATTACTACAATCTGGGCCAAGCGACTGATGCAATACTGACAAGAACTGCACCACTCGACACCTACCTAGGCAAATATAGTAAGCAATTATGGATAGCAAGCCAACCTTCCTTATACACTTATCCCTGCCGGAGACAGAGCACGTTAACCTTCTAAGCGTATGTAATCACTGTTGTAAGGAACGATCCACCGTCAGAGTGAAATAAATGATGGTCCGCGGACTAAATTTACAATGCTCGAGGTCCTTCGTTTCGAGTAACTATCCGCCACACTGACAGCACAGGTACTATGCAAGGGCCCAGGCACGTGCGCTTCGCCGGTCCCGTGCCGTTGTCCGACGCATCTGTGAGTGACTAGGCCCACTAGGGAATCTCTCTGCTGTCTGTGTCCGTTTTTTAGTATATCAACTCCAGTTTCACCCTACTTAGTTTGTTTCCGAGGGACTTAATGCGCGAACTTGGAGTAAATTCGTCGGAACAGATCTTTTTAGGCTCGGTCCTAGAGCGGATATGAATATTTGAGCTGAAATCGACCAGCTACTGCGGAATAATCGCGTAATATTCTCAAACCGCTTACAGACAGCCAGGAGCATACAACTGTGTAATTATTTACCATACTGACAACACAGGTACTATCTAAACGCCCATATACTCGCGCTTTTGTCTGTGACTGGCGCAAGTGATAGGTTTTCTCCGTTTTGAAAAGCGCTCAGTTGAAATATCGTTATCCTTCCGTCCTTAAGTCCACAAAGTAATGCTGGCTTCTTAAGAACGAAGTTAACTCATATCAGGGTCGGTGGTCTCACTCGTGACAATTTCAATAGGACAAAGGAAAGGAAGCGTTGAAACATGTGACTATCAAGTGGAGAAATGAATTTGGGTACCGTAAAGATCGGATTAGGCAAGGCCCTTCTGTAGTCCACTGGATGGAGCCAATTCAAACAAAGGCCGCTTTTACATCATTCAACGAAGACTCAGGCGACACTGCAATATAAACCTTATAAAACAGTAAGCTGAGGCTCGGAATGGTTTGTCTGACGATGCTATTACATAGCAACCGTATGATTTTTAAAGAGGAATTAAGTCAACATTTTAGTTCGCGCCACAACGCCATCCCACCGCTTACGTTTTGGTGTCCTGAGCTATAAATGTTTCACTGCTATGACGCTACTAAGGATCATTAAGTACCGGTCGTTCATGGAATTTGCTGGTGCATGAACTTATGTGCACATCCTCAACCACATTCGCCATGAAGCTTGCAGTCCACAGGTCATACTACTTTCCAGGTGGTTGTTGCTGCGTGTGTATATATGTCCTCCACTGATGCTAACTTACGAAATGCTTTGTATCTCTGTACCTTCTTACGTATCTCAGCCGTAGTCCATTGATATTGCCTATTTTCCCTGTTTAATACGTACTTTGCTGCATGTAACATTTTGGGACTACAAAGGTGTACACCTAAATTTCCCTCAAATGAAATGAACTGGACAGACACAAACCGGCGTTTCGACGTAGCGTGCCCCAACTCCTAAAAAACGGTCTCCAGGCAGTAACCCAGTGATGGAACACGTGGTGCTATTCCTTCTTCTGACAGCAATAGTCAGGGATGGTTGCTGGCGACAATCATCTGCCCCAACAAAGCACTGGCAGTCGCGACATGAATATACCAGTTGTTATTTGAGAGCATAGGTATATCAAACTCTATGAATGTCAACCTCCCAGGGCACTGTGCCCTGTTTGCCTTCAAAGCACGGAGATTGATAGGATTTATCCTGCAGGAATTTAAAATTAACGACATTTGGATTCGACTCTATAGAATATGCGTTAGACCTGACCAAGAACACTGTTCTGCATTTATCCGATTGCGCTCTAATGATCAGACGAAAGTTAAATCCGTCTAGTACCTATCTGCTTAAGGAGTTTTAGTCTAGAAACACCGAAATCAAATTTTACAAGACATTTTTGGATTCACAAGCCTTGTTAATTTGTGGTTTCTTGGAATATAATAGGGACTCATGCCATGCAATGACAGAAGTTCGACGAGACATGCGTGTCTCGGCTTTTAGTTAGTACCAATGTTGCTTGTATGGCATGTTGTAATGCCAAAACTCGTAACATGTTAAGCTTTATCTGCCCTTAATTTAGTCAGTCTACTACTTTGAAGCACACCGACTGTCTTACAGGCAAAAGTTATCACGAAGCCAATTCATTTCTTCCTCTGCAATGCACAGTGAAATGTTGTCAGGTCTTTTCCTTTAAAACAATTGCAATCTGCAATAAGTTTCCCGAGGACACAAGAATTCAGCAAAATTATTCTTTCTTAAACGAAATATCCCTTCTTCTACGCATTTAAAATATTCTCCACAATCTGTGGATGCAAATCCACCTAACCCATTTTCCGCAGTGATGAAGTTTGCGGTCTTTAATCTTACCTTATGGTCTTGTCTTGAGTGGAATGCTACTGATTCTATGGTCCACCAAACGGCGAGTTAATTCACCAGCTGGAGACGAGAAACTGTTAACCTATGCACTAACGTCTGTTATGGAGTCTTATTTCCATGTAAAGGAATGGAGATTAGAAAATCTCGCTATATCCATACCAACTCGTTTAGTTCCGAATAACCTTTCTTTCGTGGGATGCAGATTTATCTTGAATAACTCCATCTATCCAAATCCCAACATGACGTAAAGGCGTTTTTACTGCTTGCTCGGTTTACACGGCATATACATAGGTAATGCACTTGAACTAGCGCTCAGTATAAAAAGAGCGGTAATTATTATTGTTAAAAATGCAGACCCACCAGCCTGGCAGTAGTCTGCTGCAAATCAAATAAGGAACCATCAAAACAAAATCGATGATCCGTTTGAAAGCTCGCAACTCTTTATTCAGCGCGCCATTCGTTTTTAGCGAGGGACGGTCTAGCGTAGGGAAAATGAATTGCGCAATGTGAAGCTGGACTAGAGCACTCGGGGAAAGAAACATTTGTATGATGCTTGCATTTGTATCAATGAGTCCGCCAATAGCGTTCCTCACCGTTGACCGTAGTAGAAGTTAAGGGTAATGGGCATCAAATGCAGGGCATTTAAATAAGCCGAAAACTTCCATATCGGTCTCTTCCGGATTATTTTCGTTGGACGACATAAAGCAGAGCGTACAACCATAGACAGTAGGGTCCCATAAGGTTCAGTGCTGGAACCAAACCTTTCCGCTTGTGTGTATGTGTTTGTTTAAGGGTTACGGGCGGAATGCCAAATGATCCACATTCATGTTCGTCTTTAATGAATAATAAAATTTCAAACGGTCAGTGTAAGATATGGTTACCGGAAAGGTTAACAGAGAATCTTACATCGAATGGAAAGCGAAGCGTAACATGAGAAATGGAATCATTAAATGTTTCTCTTCCCTAGTCGTGAAAAATTCTGCAGTGTAAGGCATTCCTTACCAAAAACCAAGCAGTTCATGTGTCTTTTTAACCCTAACGTGGTATCAGAAATCACATCCTCACTTTTGAGTGGTTTTCAGGTTCGAACCACTTTCTGGCTGAACGTAAGAATTCATAGGTCAAAGGCGCGTAGTTTCACGCTTGATAATTTGCGGACTGCCGTATCGAAAAATCCTATTTGCATGGTCGAAGAAATCTTCAGGATTGAGCAAAAAAACATGTCCATGCATAATCCGGAATGTCCAAAGCAGACTGACCTGAATAGTTTTCAAAAGAAACAAATTCGGCTGGATCGGTATCTTTGGATAAGATGGACTCCTATATTCGTCCATGGGTTTTGTCGCCCGTCGTTGCCCCTGTTCGATGGGGGAAATGTCTTTATGCACTCAGTCATCCACTCTGGCGTTCCGTTTTTTCAATGCGGTTTGGCGAGGATGCTTAGTATCTATGCAATAACTGCGGGAGGTAGGGCTGCAAAAGAACGCCCGATCCATTGTATGCTGTTTGTTGGCATTTTAGCTGCTATTTTGCAGTTTTCGGCGAACAACGCGTCTGAATTTGTCTAGTTACATAAATCTATGTGCGTATTCGATTCTTTTAGTGGAATCCCGTCTGTGCAATACTTAAACTTTTAAAAACGTCTTATTTTTTAATGATTGGCTGCGGAAATTAGACTTAATGTGTCATGTTTACGGGTGGAATCAAAAACTAAAAAGTCATCCACAGTGCTGTAACAGGCACACATGAACGGTTGTTTTAATAGACAAGGGTGCTGGGTTTGATGGCAAGGGTGCCTGGTGTCTGCACACTATCTGTATGCTTTCTCTTGTTTTTTTTAGTTGAGGTGCGTGAGGAAGAAGACTCCCCCTCCCCGGTGGCAGCATCCTACTCCACCTTCCCTGGACAACTGTGTAACTAACGTTTTGTTGGAATAATAGATCCCCCTCTGTTTTACCCTCGTTCTACGTTCCCCTTTTTGCCCTTCCTTAATAAACCTTAGAGTACTACGCGGCTTATCGTGTGCTTGAAGATTGTTATTCGATAATGAACGCTTGGAAGGACGATCCTAATGGTTCACAAATCGGACAGAGTGCCCCAGTTTCCGATGTTCCGTCTCAGACAACCCAAAAGGACACCAGTGAACTCTCGGCCACCGAACCCCTTTCGAGGTCGGAAGCTACAAAGGTGGCAGCGAACGAGCCGAGCCCGCAGCCTAACAACAGTACAACAAACCCTGTTCCGTCTTCTTTTAAACTCTACGACGAGGGTAAAGATTTTTCGTGCTGGCTTCGCCGCCTTAAGTTCCACCTAGACGATGTTCCACAAAACGAACGCAGCCGTACGGTACTTCAACATCTTGCAGACGACCAGATGGACAAGGCACTGGATGCCGGCCTCACCCGCCACACCCCTTTCTAGGTGCTGTGCGACCGATTGCAGAGGCTATTCCAACCCCCATTGACCATAGAAGAAGCCCTTGACCAGTTACTAAAACGTTCCTTAAGGAGCGATGAGACCCCTCGGCAGTTCGTCGACGCCTTACTCCGGCTCTCACGCGACGCCTTCCCCTCACTGTCAGCGGCCGATAGAGACCAAGTGGTCCTTTACCACTTTGAACGCGGCCTCGGGTCCCAGGAGGTGACGTATTCCTTGAGGATTCAGCCACCGGGCGACCTCAACGAAGCCATCCAGCGGGCATCCCGCATGCTAACAACCGATGTCCCAACAGGCGATAATCACTTCCGGCCTGAACTGTGAAAATCCACGCCAGACCGCAGGCAACAGAACAACACATGGACCAGACCGCACTACCAGCCTTCACAACGATTCAACCCCGGCAGCCGACCCTCCACGTTCCGCACGCCCTATCGACCCCCACCGCTCAACACTGGTCCAAGACAATTCCGGGGAGATAGAGACAGTACTGCGGCGGCGATTACCAAGGAAGGTAACCACATCATTCCCGTCAGCTTTGATAACGCGTCACATTTTTTACCGTTTTACACGACAATTTACCTAGACGACAAGCCTATTAAGGCTCTAGTCGACACAGGTGCCACCACGTCGTTAGTTCGAGCAGATGAACTAGACTCTAAGTGGCTTAACCTATCCAGACAAAGTGGTCGCTCACCACACCTCAAAACCGCAGACGGGTCACCCATGACAACGTTAGGGATGGTTCGACTGCCCATCTCCTTTCCAACCAGCGTTAAGGAACAAGCTTTTGTCGTCACTCACAGGATGTCGTGGGTCATGATACTCGGCCTAGATTTCCTTTCTGCACATAACTGTTGTATTATGGTCAAAGATCGTATACTATCCTTAGGGCATAAATCACCGCCTAACCACCCAACAGCCTCCGAGTTTGACGAATAAGCCACCTGCGCGGTCATCGCAGCGTCGGTAGCCTTACCACCCACAAGTGTAGACACGGTCTTACCCCCAGGTGCTACGGTCGCTCTTACTGACAAGGCAGAATTGAAGTCACTACTGACTGCGTTTAGCGATGTTTTCGTATGGGATGATACCTCCTTAGGTCGCACCGCTGCCATTCGTCACAGCATTGTCACTGGCCGCCAGTGTGTGTATATTTGAAGGGTTAGAGGCAGAGCCCTTGACGACCCTATTTATGCACAGTGCTTTCGCAGATTCGCACTCAAAACAAAATTAAAGGCATTTACCATTTGATCGAGTCATAGTACGAGCGTAATGATAAGGAAGTGCATCAGGGCACTGTAACTTAGTGCTGACTGATTGTAAATGACAATGTTTAACAGAAATGACTGTGGGTAGTCACGCTGGTAAAGCTAATTTCTGTCGAAAATTTGGCGAGTAAGTTTTCTCTTAAACATGAAAATTGTGTCAGCCGCCATCATCTCGCGCGAAAGCGAGTTCCACGGTCGGACAACCCGTTGACTGAATGAAAACATTCTAACGTCTAACCGCGAACGCCAACTCTTGGCTTTGTAGGCAAGACCGCATTATGGGTTTTCACGGGCAAACTCAAGGGAGTCCTCCGTTCTTGATGAGCAACCTTGTCCGCGGACAATCAGTAATGTCCAGAGTAGACTGCAGTTTAGTTTTCTATGAGAGAGGGGGAATACGCTAAGCACATTCAGCCTCTTCTGGTAAGACAAATGCTTTAGAACGTCGACCATCTTCGTTGTTATGCGTTGCACCTGTTCGAGTAATTCGATATCCTTCCTCATTCACGGTGAAGCTGCTGGTATTCCGTACTCCAGATGGGGTCTCACAAAGACACCAAAAAGTCTTTCGGAGAGTTCAGGAGAAAATATTTCAAATACACGTCTGATCCAGTGTAGAGTGCTAGTTGCCTTCTGGACCTGCTTGCTACAGTGTTCTGATGGCGACAGATTTGTGGTTTTCCATACACTTAGATCTCTGTCTTTCTGTAGTTTCTAATACCGTTGCGTTGATATAGTACTGGTAATTGGGAGAGGCACTGCGGCCGGTGATCAGGTGCAAGACCACGCATTCGGACACGTTATACCTCAAAGCCCATCTGTTCGACCAAACACACAGTTAGCCGATGTTGGACTGCAACTTTTCTGCATCATGGTCACATTTGACTTTACTCCATATTTTTGTCATCCGCGAACATGAGGGCCTCGCAATTCACTTCGCTGATGCAGTCGTTACCAAAAATCACGAAGTATACTGGGCCTGGGACAGAATTCTGTGAGACACCACTTTCCAACTTTGCCCATCGCGAGGTAGAGCTACAAAGGGCGATTCTCTGCACTTTAGAGGACAGAAAACTCCTGATCTATTTAAACATTCTTCATTGAATTCTTACATCCCAGATCTTCTTCTGCGATAATTTCAGCAGTCAAAGCTTGAGCCACCTTTTTGGATCGTAGTAATGAGTGCGTACTTCCATTCTACCGGGAGCACGCCGTCTTTGAGTGACTTTTGAAATATTGCGGATAATGGTTTGCACAGCCCATTAGGAAGTTCACGAAGTGCTAGTGCGTGAATTCTATCAGGACCAGATAATTTGAGAGGTTTCAGCTGAAGTAGTTCGGCCCAAACTATGGTCGATGAATTAAGTGGTTCTTTGGGTAAGGAGGGCAGCGAGGGGGTAGGAGGGGAAAGGATACTCGAAGGAGAAGTGTGTTGGCGAACGGACAGATTGGCAAATATAGAGCTAGGTTCTCGGGTGAAAACGGATTGAAAGAATTTAGAAGGGAGGGCCGCTCTAACATGGCGATCATTCTCCACTTTTCCATCTGCAGACTTTAGGGCAGGGATAATATTTTGAGTCCCTTTAGTACTTCCTTTATAGCCATATAGAATTTTCGGATGCTCCAACAATTTAAAAGTATGTCCAGGTCGAACTTTCTTCGCTGCTTTGAGGCCTCACTTTTACAGCGTTTCGTTGCTGCTTATATTCCTGTAAGTATTCTTCGGAGCTAGTTAGTCTCTAACGCCTAAATGGACGATTCCTTTTTCTGAAAGAGGCTTTTAAGTCCGAGTTTATCCATTTTGGGCGGTTCGTGATTGTCTTTCTTCTGAGAGAACAGTTGGAATAAACAATCGCTTTCAGTGAAGATCTGAAAGTATTCCAGTTGTCGTTTGCCCGACCATCCAATCCAGGCTCTAAGGATACATCTGCCGCTTCTCTTCTCATGAGAGAATGGCCCCCTTTCAAATGTTTCGCTCCCACCTATGGGGTTGGACGGGTTTGGAGAACAGGGAGTACTCGAAGTAGAACGTGATATGGTCGCTAGACCCTGATGGCTGTCGGTCCTGCAGGTCGAACACGTTTTCCTCCTCTCGGGTAAAAATAAAATCAAGACAGCTCGACTACTGTCCTTCCCTGATCCGCGTTCCAGAGGTAACATTCTGGCAGAAAAGTTTGTCCGTTGCCCATTGTAGTAGTTAATGATTAAGGCTGTCTTGCAGCCCTCACGCAGCCCAAGTTGGTCAATCAATGCCAGGAGCGTTAAAATCCCCAAAGATAAAGCTATCTTTCTTCCCACTGACTTTGTTAAGTTCAGTTATGAGCACAAGATCTTGGTACACCAACGAAAGCGTCAATGATCGTACATTTTTGCCGCTGGTTTTAAATTTGAAGATAAGTGGAGAATATTATTTTAAGTGGTTTTTCTGTGAGACCTAACGATTTTAGTACCTGTTTTTTGGTTGAATTTCCTTAAATACAGGCCTTTTCTCTAAGAACTGCCTGCTGAAATCTCCTTTGGAGTTTCGCTAGTCTATGCCCGTTGTTCACTAATCGCACTTTGCAATTCTCATTTTGTGCATCCGATTCCTCTCTAACTGTTGTAATTTATTTTTACATCGTTAGCCCCTAGCTGAAATTCAGTCATTTTGTCTGCCAGAAGTTTTCTTAATCACAAATTGCCTCGAGACAAGATGAGACCAAAAGTCACTGGTCGACGTAAGCTCCCGGCTCTTGTAAGTAAACATGGCCTAACTAAACGTAAGTCAGAAGCTTTACCTAAATCTAAGTCAGATGATATTACTAGTCAGTCGTCACCCGTTGTAATTGGTCGGCAGCTTAATCTGTCTGCACTTGACCACAGCAATGACTTTATGCTAAAGTTTGGCTCTTTGCTGACAATTCTTGGAAATTTATTCGACGAGAACATCTCCGATATTCCCTCTGAAGAATGTAGGCGTCTCGACTCACTTGTTCACCTGATCGCCAGTGAATCTAGTGATAGACAGAAGCGTTCTTACAACTTCCTGCTAAAAAATGTCCCTCGATCTGCTCGGCCAATTGATGTTGCGAACAGTTTCCAGTATTCATGTGGTTTCAACTATAAAATAGCTGATGCCAAACGTTTGTCCTCCCGTAGTACAAATCCACCCATCTTAGTCAAATTGTTTTCA